CACCGCTCTCCCCTGCAGGGGCAGGAGGCCGAAGCTTGGTCCTGCGGCAGCCAAGCTTCCCTCCTCCCCCTTCTTCCCCCAGCTTGGTGCATTCCGGCCCCTCCGCCCCTCCTCCTCCTCTCAGTGGGCAGCAGCGTGCCACTCAGAATCGGCTCGCGTGCCGTGTTTGGCACGCGTGCCGTAGGTCGCCGACCCCTGCTATAGACAAAGGCAGGCTGCCAAACCTGCTACTTTTCTAGTAGAATGGGCCCTATGGGCTTTCTGACTCTGAAATTCCAGCCAAGTCACAACAGGTATGAATCTGTACTTTAATCTCCTGAGACAATCTTTTAACCAAAGAGTTGGGCCTTTGCTTCTCTCTCCAACAACCGTGTGAATTTCCTATATGGTTTAGTCCTGTCAAGGTAATAAACGCTTTTCACAATGAAGCCATGGAAGCTAGTCTTCCCTGGTACACAAGCTTGTAAAAAACTGGATTGGCTCACATGAAAATCCAAAGCCACCTTAGTCAAAAATTTTGGATGTGTTCCTTATGGAGAATCCACCACCAACTTGGAGTTCAGCCGATCAGATCCTCAGCTGGTGAGAATCAATGTAGCTTCTTTGAGGTCACTGGAGCTATGCCAATTTACCCCAACTGAAGATCTGGCCAAGAGACTTTTGTACTGACATGATATGTTAGGAAACACTCATCAGCAAAAGATGATAAGAAGACCAGTCTCTTAATGGTTAAAAAAAGCAGCTTCCAAGAGCTCCGTGAGAAATTCTCAAAGTAGAAGTGAGAGGAGGCTTACTAAAAAGTAACCCAATCTCAAATTAAATAATACATTTGGTTTATTTAAAGAAAAAACTACTTTATTTATAGTCAAGATTTAAAAATCCATATAGTTGGGAGTAAATAACTCAGTGGTACTTATGCTTTAAGTAAAAAATACTCCAATATTCTGTAAAAAGGGAGAATTTGACCTGAGGAATGTTCAGTTTTTGAAATGTGGATTGTTTACCATGCCAGATATTTTAGCATCATTATCTAAAATATGGCTTTTCATTGTTCTGTTTTGTTATGATATCTTACTGATGTAATAAATCTCTACATCCTCTTTGAACGTTAATTGCTCCATTGCTTGAGGCATACCACAACTTTATGCTTCAAGAAACTAGAATTTGACCCAAGCACATCAAAGCTGACAAGTTTTATCATTAGGGATTTTGGAAACTCTTATAAAATAATTGCTTGTACCAAAGACACAAAGTACGTCATGCAAAATTAAATGTAACCCTATAATTTAATCTTCCTTCTCCTCATTCAGAACTGGTTTCAAAGAATATATGTGGTCTGTTATTATAAATTAGTGATGGACCCAAGACACATAATTTGGAACTGGTTCTGAAACTTTGAAAAAGTTCAAGAAGTTTGACATGCGGTTTTAGTCCAGCCCACTACAGAGAATGAGATAAGTTATGAACTATAGATGCCAATCTAGATCTGAACTTCCCCAAAGTTCAGGGGTGTTTTGACTCGGGGTTTTGGTTCAGGCCAATCTTTTTCATAAATATAATCACCACATCACGGTGGATGATGATACCATTTTTCTGAGAAACGTGTAGAAGGTGTTTTGCGTGAGAGACCCACAAAGCAAAGCTAAGCAGTTGTGACTACAGCTGTCAAAGAGACAATGCTCTGATTCAACCAAAGATATTCTCCACATTAGTGTACTCTTCCCATTAAAATGTGAATTTATTGTACAAGTAGGTACCATTATACAAAACATTTCACTAAGGAAGAGCTGGGAGGAGAGGGGGTGGGGAGAAAAATCAAAGAAAAAACAAAGAAAAATATTAACAAATAATGGGTTAAAATAAATTAAAACAAAATACTATATAGCTCTGAATGGCTTACTTTGCATTTAAAAGAATGGAGATAGCTTCCATTACAGTCATGACAAGATCCGGAGGCTTGGTAAAAACTCTAATTTCCGATATATCTGCTTTATCCAAAGAGTCAAGAGCTTTGTTTGCAGCCTCTAAAGCTGGGAGAGCTTCATCCAGATCCCGTTGAGCATCATCAGCAATTGCCTGAGTCTCTTCCGCTTTCACTTTTGCAATAGCTTCATCTTCTTGAACAACCCGGCGAACCTCAACATTAAATGGGCAGTGAAATATTTTCAAAACACAACAAATGTTTAAATGGCTTAACTTGTTCTGTCTTATTTCTTTAACAGGTTTGCTTAACACTCACTTCTGCATTTTTGGTTTTATACATAAAGTATGCAAAACAGAATTATAGAGGAGCGTCACCGGTCCTGACACGCACAGAAAGTTATTAATTGGTGAAAGATACTAAAATCCCATTATTTTTGAGGAGCAAAGGCCAAGAATCTGCAAGGACAGACCAAATCCTGTAGGCCTCAGGCTCCGGCCTACCACTGGCAGCATAACTGGCTGCACTGCTATTGACCTTTCCTCAGCAGCCATAACCCCTGAGATGTGTGTCACAGAGAGCACAAGCGATGTTAACGCTTCTTGGAGCAGCATTAACTAACATGGGAAATGTCTGCCTAAACTCTGCGGCATCCACAGAAGAAACATTTGTACTGGTAGAAGCTACACTATAGAAAAGCAGGACACAGTCTAATTGCCTTTCCCTTTCTGCAATCCCTGTCAAGGCTCAGTTCTGCGCTTTTAGGCCCTTGTGCTCCTCAGTATGCAGGGGCGGCTCTAGGCACCAGCAAAGCAAGCAGGTGCTTGGGGCAGCCCATTTGCAGGGGCGGCAGGGATCCAGCATGGGAGATAAGAACCAACAGGGGGCCCTGGGAGCTGTAGTTCCTTGGTTAGCTCCCTGCCTATAGAGCCAGCCCTGGAGCAGGGAAAGAACTACATTTCCCAGCATTCCCTTGGCCACTACCAACAGGAAAGAGGGGGAGGGAGTGAGGAAGCTGAGACCTCATGCTGCAGCCTGCTGTGAATGGAGAGCTGCACTGTGAGTAGGGATACCATATTTTAACATTCAAAAAATAGGACACTTCACGGGGAGGGAGGGTAGCCCCACCCTGCCACCATCCACTCCCTCCGACTACCCCCCACAGAAACCACAACCCATCCAACCCCCCCGCTCCCTGATCACCCCCTCCCAGGACCCCTGCCCCAACTGCCCCCCAGGACCCCACCCCCTATCTAAGCCCCACTGGTCCTTGTCCCCTGATTGCCCCCTCCTGGGACCCCACCCCCTATCTAAGCCTCCCTTCTCCTTGTCCCCAACTGCCCCATCCTGAGACCCCCCACAACTTCTCCCCTAGGACCCCACCCCCTACCTGTCCCCTGACAAACCCCTGGGACTCCCATGCCTATCCAACTGCTGCCTGTCCCCTGACTGCCCCCCCCCCAAACTCCTGACCCATCTAACCCCCGACCCATCTAACCTCCCTTTCTCCCTGCCCCTGACTGCCCCCCAGAACCTCCGCCCCATCCAACTCCCCCTGCTCCCTGTCCCTTGACTGCCCCCCTGGAACCCCCTACCCCTTCTCCAACCCCCTAGCCCCCTTACCGTGCCACTCATACCAGCGCGTCTGGCTCCGCGCAGTGCCAGACACACTGCTGCATACATGCTGCCGTGCTCCCCCGCGGAGCCAGAGTCCCCCCCCCCAGCACCTGCCTTCCAGATTTGAACACCTCAAAATTCAGGAGTGCTCAAGCTCAGTTTGGGCAGCTGTTACTTCATTTCTCCCAAATCAAATATACTGATCCACTGTAACTTGCTGTAGAAAAAGTAGGATAAAATTGAGCAAGAAATGCTTCCCAGTGGTTATTAGGACTGGAATTGCTATTTTCAACAGCCATTGCCTTTTTTTTGTATGTTTGTTTGAAAGGAAGACAGTGATATTGCATTGGCAAATTCCCCATAGAAAGAAAGAGTGGAACAAAAGAATAATAAAGGCACCTCAACTTTTCCTCATTTATGTAGGACAGTCTTATAATATGCATCCAGATATCCTCCAATCACACAAGCTGAAAACTGTTCCACTTTACTGCAGTTCTGTAACCATATGGGAACCAATCCT